TTGAAAACCATTTATTTTCCCAATGGAATACGAAATAGATATGTAACTAACTAACTATGAAAAAAAACATTGAATATCCAAAATTCATCATCCATCATCAACATATGTGTAACAACATTTCACATGTCAATATTTTCGGTTTGTTTGGTCAATTTGTTCAACAAACAAAAAAACATTTGATTTTTTTGAACCAATTTCTATAGAATCATTAAATATTGAAATTTTAATTGACTAGATGTTTTTGTTTCTTCACTCAGGTGTTTACAATTAAGTAGGCAGGTAGATATTCAAACAATAAACAGTGTATTTCATCAGAATCTCCTATTAAAAAAATCTATTGGCAAATTTTTTTTTGGCTTCAATAAGATTTTTTTTCCAACGAAAACAAAAATTCATTTGCTTTTTTTCCCAAAGATTCTTTGATCGATTTTTATTGATTATCAAGTGTGTATGTATATATGATACATACACCTACACAATTTATAAGAAATTATTATGGCAAAAAACACAATAGAGAATCACAAAAGTTCAATCTTTCGACCATGAAGAAAGAACGAAAAAAATAACAAATAACAAAACGTCAAAATTTTTTTTTTTGTTTTCATCAATTTATTCACAGAAAAAAACAAAAATAAGTTTCCAAAAGAAAGAATATTGATATTTATTGTGTTTAAACACGTTTATTTTTCTACGTCAATGTCTCTCTCATCAATGAAAAAACGGTTAGTTGTTGTTTGTCATCATACGTCAATTGATTGTATGAATGAATTTTTTTGAACTGCTGTTTCTTTCTTCAAATCAGAGTTTGAAGAAAGACAAAAAAAAACAAAGCAAAGTGAAAGCAAAATTCCTATGATGATGTGTTTTTGGCAAAAATTAATTATTTCTTTCTTTCTTTCAAGTATTTTTCACTGATATGACAGTGAATGTATCTTTTTTTTATGTAGGATGTGAAAAAAATAAGGATTCTCTACACACGCAAAGATGACTAATAATGATGATGAAGAGGATGATGATAAAAATAAAATTATGGATTATGAATGCCAAACGCACACACACACACACACACACAGACAACAAACAAACAATAAATACATGAATGATATCACAATATATAGATGATGAAATAATGATGAAATGAATAAAGAAGAATATTTCCAAAATAGAATCATGTCACGCTAAGAATTTTTTTTAATCTTAACATTTAGGTTTTTTTTCTTTGCTTCTTATTATTCTTTACTTACAACATACACTTGATTCAATCAAATTCCAATAATAAAACCTAATAATATTGATTATCAAGAAAATATATTGAATAGACCTAATATCAGATTCATGTTGTTTTTTTCCCCTAACTTGTTTCATTCACAGGTTAATATCATTACTTTTTTGTTTTGTTTTGTTTTCTTGGTTAAATAATGTATAGTCAGATTTTTTTCTTTTTTTCTTGTTATTGAATTAATTCTTGTGTTTTGTTTTGTTTGTTTGTTTGTCTCCCTTCTTTTTTCCCATTGATTATCATGTGTTTTGTTATCAAGTGAGTCGAAAAACAAATCTGATTGAATGGAAAAAAACAAGAGAAAGAGAAAGTTTTGTATTACAAAACATGAATAAAGTGACAAATGGATGGAGAGAAAACAACAAAAAAAAAACTTTTGTTTGTTTTTGACAGTGAAGCCAACATTTTTCAGATTTCGAAATTGAATAATGTTTGCTTTCCTGCCTTAAATGTTGTTGCTGTTTGGATTTGATTTGATTACGAAATTGATTGAATAAATTTTCATTGTTTTGTTTGAATAGCAAAATTATGGATAATTTTTGAGTGCAAAAAAAATTAATTAATCATAGTTATGAAACACACAACGTAATTATGAATTTTTCGAATGGAAAGTGAAAATTATCCCACATAATGATCATTTCCTTTGATAATTATCCTAGTAACGAGAAAAGATTATACCCACGTACAAAAGAAAAAAAATTACACAGATTTTCAAATGAAACAAAAATCTAAATTACAAATATAGATCAAGCGTAGAGCTATTTATAATAATGAGATGCTTTAAGAGAGAGTGAAAAAAAAACTTAATTTTTTCTTCGTTTAAACACCCACACTTGTTCCAAAAAAATATGTTAATGTTTTTCCATTAGAAAATATACAACAACAATAACAATAATAATCATATTATGAGAAAAAAGAAGAGTAAAGAATCATCATCATCCATTATCAACAATCATTTTGCACTAGAAAAAAAATAGTCCAGTATTTGTTTACTATAGTAAATCTTTCTATTATTTAAAAAGAAAAAAATTCAACATTTTCTACGAATTCGAATAAATTCTCACTAAATGTTTGCATTCAAAATTGCCGAAATAACGATGTTTTATGCAATTTATTTTGAGTTCTTCTTTTTTTTGTTGTTGTTACTACAGTGACAAACAAACAAACAGATAAATATAAATAGATATCCCCTTCTTTGTGAATGAAAATAAATTCTCAACTAAAAAATGATAATTCATTATTATTATTATTATTGTTATATTTAAATCTGATTTTTGGAATTCATTCATGTGTTTGATATATACATAGAGAATCATATATGAAGAGATATGAATGGGAAGAAAAGTGTTAAACAAAAATTGAAATTAAACATTTTCTTTTTTTTTTGGTTCATGCATCGATACATGTTTTAACACTAATTTGAATATGAATAAATTCTTTATTCAAACATTTTATTATCATTTTTAAACTGTTAGAATTGTTTTTTGTATTCAACCATATAAAATGGAATTATAAATTGGCAAAATGCTTTGTTTCTTCCTAATGATAATGGAACAAAGCAATCAACAAAATTTGAATGATAAAAAAAATGATTTAATGTAGATGATGATTTTGGGAACAAAATGGAAAAAATGAACAAAATATACACTGTTATTCGGGTGAAAAAAAATCATATATGAATGAATAGGGAAGAACAACAAAAAAAAAGAAGTAAAAATTAAAATCTCAAAACATCATTAGTAAATTTCCTGCTATAGTTTTCCTTCATGATTATTTTCATTGTTTTGCTTCTTTTCCAATCAATTTCGACTGTGAATATATGTAATGTATTTTAATGATCATCTAACAAACATTATCAATTTGTTGTTTTTCATTATTGGTTATATGTTGACCTTTACCAAAAATTTCCAGAAAAAATGTTTATTTTTACATTTACTTTTAACACTTGAACATCACAACCGCACACTATAGACATAGATGTACTGATTATAAAAAAAATAACTATAGACTATAGCAAAACCAAATCAATCGAAAGAAACAAAAATATTTCAATTTAATAATGATAATGATGATTGCCACCCATATACTTTACCAATTAGTATTTCATGTTAAAAAATCTTTTAGCTAAAAAGAATTCAATTAAAATTTTGTCAACATTATCTATGTCTATCCTGGATCATAACTGTAAAACAAATAATAATAAATTTGAAGGACAGAAACTGGAGAAAAACAAAACAAAACAAAACAAAACAATAATAATGAAAATTCCATTCTATTTTGATGGTTCATTGATTCTTTATTTTCAAGTTTTTCCAAACATCATCATTAAAATTGATGCCATTTCGACTATATTACTTTCTTTCTGTTTTTGTAAAAAAAATTTCACTTTTTTTTGGAATTTTTCCTTCTCCATTTTCATTCAAAAATGAAAATAACAATTGAAAAATTATAGAATTTTTTTCTTTTCTTTTCTCCCTATTTCGCAGTTGAAAATGAAATTATTTTCAACCGATGATGATGATGATGATTTTTTCTCTCTCTTTTTGTCGACAAATGAATAATGTATATGCGTTTAAGCAATAAATTTGTTTTTTTCCTATTCTGATCCAAAGTTATTGCCCAATAAATGCCAAAGCAAGAGAGAGATTCAAACATTCTTCTTTTTTTATTTTGCACACTGACAAACATTCATTTCGAATGAATGATTTTTGCTATTTTGTATCAATTTGAATGGTGAATGGTGAATGGTGAATGGTGATGGTGATGATGATTGTTTAGCATGATTCGATTGTGGCCAAATTTTTCTTGTTCATTCTCTCTCTCTCTCTCTCTCCCCATCTACTCACTCTATTTATCAATTTTGATTATTCATTCGTTTGAATAATCAAAAACATTTTTTACAATAAAATCCAACAATACTATGCATGTGTATTGGATTTTTTTTCAATTCGGATCATTTCGAAACATTTATTGAGATTGTATTTTTTTT